TGAAGAAATAGCTTTTCAGGCAAAAGACAGACAGACATTTCACAGCACATCTCTCGCGATGGAGCATATTTAATCTTTATAGCAGCAGATTAAGACCGTTTGGGGTACGGTAATTGCTGCATTTACCCCAGGACCCTATATCCGGCTTTTGCTCGATTCAGGGATGAGTTTTGACTTGGCCTGTACGTGCATGGAGACCTATAGGAGCGATTGGATATTAGCCGCTGGAGGCGTACTGCTGATTTCAACCGAGATCGATTACCAGATTCTCAGTTAAGCAGAGGGGAAACCATGGCAGGCCAAGACCTCGCAGATGCGACTTGTTCCCCTGGTATCTCCAGTTATTTCTTATGCTCCCCTCTTCAACTGAAATGAAAACATGAGCTGGGGGGATTAGAGTATATGAAAAAAATCCGATGTATTAGTTTAATCTGGCAGATGTGAGCCGCCTAGGCAGAAATATAACGCTATATACCAGATTTGATTTTAAGCCCTTACTAGATACAGTATATTTGTTGGTATCTAGCCATTTCTACTTAGCATGTCGGATACTAGTATCTACGTAAGATATGTAGAAATAGGACGTATGAGAATCAAATTATAGACACTAGTGTATGCAGTGTAGCTTCTAAAAGCCGCTAAATGCGACTACGGTCTATGATAAGGAGAAGCGCATAGTCTAGACCCAAGCTCGTGCTGGGGGATGATCAAGATTTTATATGGTGCAGGGTTTGCCGCGCTACGAGATAGAGAAGGGTAGGGATACCTATGGATTTGTGAGATTGAATTAATTTAATAAATTTCTGCTGCTGTGTTACCGTATAGCGGCACCGCTGGCGCCACTCCCCCTTTTTCTTCTCGCCGGAGTTACTGCCGACACGGCGCTCAAGTGGAGCAGTCCGAGTCTAGTTTCCAGCTAAATTCGGCCTGGGAATCTGAAGCCGGAGGGACGGAAAATAAATGAATAATTGGATGCCAGGATAAAACACTACACCGGTTGAGATAAGGGAGGGGGGTTGCTTTGGGTATCTTCCTCCATAATCTATTTCGAATCGGAGCAAGGTGCTTGGGTTATTGAAACCTCCCACTTTTACTTTTAAGTGTTATTTAATTTCACTCAGCGTAGATTACTACTTGTCTTTGCGGGAATATGAAATTTGGATAGGAATAACATCTAATAAATAACTACAGCTCATACCAACTCACCCTCTATTTGTTATCTTTAGCCCCTTATAGTTGAGATTGAAGCAATTCGAAGGCTAAGTAACTTCAAAGATGATGGGTAGAAGTAGGAAGGATATATGCAATGAATGGTAGCATAAAGAAAAGTCTAGAAAGTTTAGTGTTGTGTGCTAGTTGCATAGGCTACCTATAACTTGAAGACGGCTTATACGAGTAATTAGGAGGAGTAGGAATGAACTTAAAGGCGGTTCATTTATCAATGAACTTAACTTTATAATAAGTCTTAGCACTAGAATAGATGAGATATTCTTGGAGTAATGAGAACTTCCCATTATTAGGAAGGCTTGGGCAGACAAGGACATCTTACAGCTTAAGGGAGATAGAATGTTCATTGTCTTTAGTTGCCTTGGCCCTCTACCAACCACTCGCAAACCCCGGCCTGGATAGAAACCGCACCGCCGTTTTCTACATCCCTTTTAATCATAGCACAATACTTCTTAAATCAAGGTTATCAACCACTTTCCAAACAAAATTTCCGGTATTGAATTGGTACTCCTTGCAGCTGGAGAATCTACGGAAGGCTTTATTCATCGCTCAAATTTCTAGCTCCAAGCTCCAGGGCAGGAAACAACAGGGTTTGGGGAAATGAATAGTCCAGGCCAGCATTATTACTATTGTGCAATTGACTCATGCTACCTGTCTATTCACAGCGTCCCCGAATCACCAGTTGATGGAAATAATTCAAGTGAAAACTTCAAGACAGCTGGGAGCCGTATAAGAACACATCCCCTGACGAGGAAACAGAACCCCTGGCTTAGCTGATAAACAAATATATATTGTGGATAGACCAACCTTTCTTGTTTGGCCTTATAACCCGTCCAATAAACGTGATGATAAGTTATTTACTGAGTGGATTATCGCCCTCCAATTTTGGCATGGGCTCAAGGATCGTAATGGAAACTCCAGTTACGCACTCCTTTAATATATATTTTAAGGAATTCTCCGTAAATATCCTCCAACTCTCCCGTGAGATCCAAAGTTTTGCTAAAGTTCTTATCACGGTACTAAACCGCAAGGAGGTTAAGACTACAGCACGGGCCCTAGCCCGGTCTATATAAGCCAACAGGATAGGCTTCACAGGTCTAGATAGAGCTTCCCTCCTTGTGCAATAAAAATAAGTCAACTCTGGAACCATCAGCAGTTTGTTCTACGACAGTTCTCGATAGCACGATACATGAACTAGTACATGTTTATTTGAATGTTCTGATACGGGATAAAAGTCCAGCCAGTTATTTTATTGATATACATCAAATTTAGGTTATGGAATCCGGTTCCTCGAACTTCTTCAGCTTATCGTGACCCTATATTCAACTAGATGCCTGCAGCGACATTCTTGAGTGGACTACTGAAGAAAGCTCGTGATGGATCTAGTCGTTGCGATTGCGCAGCCATCGGTCCCCAATACTGTTACTAGGACACTTATAAATGAAACTGATCATAACTTACTCTCCAGCTGTAGTTATTAAAACTCTTAATATTCTGGGAGGCACAGTGACGGCTTCGTGGATCGCCCAAATATAAGTTAATTAATGCATGAATTCATTCGACAAATGGAATATCGTAAATTTGCGCGCTCCTAGTTTAGTGATCGCCCTAAGGAGTAACGCGTTGAAATTAAAATGGTTATTCGGGTCTTGGTCGTATTAGTATACTTGAATTAATGATACTGCTTTTGTGACGAGGACTTAGTCTAATCATTTCGTTGTTATGATCTAATTCAATAACTAGGTAAGATATAAAACTACCTAGGTACTCGATCCTAATGACAAAAACATGCAATTACACCTCTTCATCCCTCTCTTTTCCTTGTAACACATGGCGCTTTTAGCATCTGTCTTATTAGGTCATTATCTACCTAGGATATTAGGCTCCCAGAAATAAGTGAGCAACCAAGTTATATTCACTAGAGGTTGCGATAAGGAAACTAGGTACCTAAGTACACTTTAGAAATACGTTACATATCCCTATAGTACATTACCTTTCGTACCTTCTTTAAGTAATAATATAACTGCGAAGCAGGTACAAGGGACGTAGTTGTTACCAGAGTCGATTGCAGACAGGCGCGCCCCAATCCGAAACTAATATCAGTCACTCAAATGAATATTGGCATGTCCCTTCCTATTAGGTACCTACACCTGCGGGCCACAACCTGATCAGTATATAAATATCTAACCTAACTTAACTTCATACTCCTTCTCAGGTTCCCAACAGCCTTCTTCCCCAATAACACTCACAACCTAATTGTCGTCGCCCGTAACTTACCTAGCCCACAATTCAATTAGCCCACAATTCAATATGGAGGCTTCTAAAACATCGGATTTGTGCATCATCTGCGACAAACCAGACGCCCTGCGCTGTGGCTGGTGCAAGGGCACCTCATACTGTTCCAAAATATGCCAGCGAGGCGATTACCCGATCCACAAACTTCTCTGTGCTACCTTTTCTCGTTTCGACATGACAAAACGGCCTACCAAAAAACACGTTCGAGCCATTCTATTTCCGCCAGACCAGAAAATCCCTAACCTGATATGGCTTGATTGTGAACCCGGTTATCCAATCGCTAAGTCATTTCTCAATGGCGAGCGTGGTGTGGCATCTCAAATCGACTTCAACGAGATTCTTGCAAAGTCCCTCTCTAACCCAGTTCGTGTTCGTTATCGGGACAACTTTTCTCATGATGGGTCGGTGCTAAACAACAGCATCTCGGTTATCACACATACTGTACCTGGGAAGCATCTCGATTGGCGTGGTCCTATCGTTGCATATGGTGTGGCTAAGCCAAGTCCTGGTGTTGAGGATTATTATCGGGACGTCGACATGAACGATTTCCGACATATCGCTGATTACTTTATCTCGTATGCTTCCGACCGTACAACATGCTTATCAGTTATGCTTCCAGCTACTGCGAACCGGGTTAGAGGAGTTAGGATCAACTGCGATGGCGATCAATGGATGTTTAACAAGCCGCATTTTGAGGAAATCGAGCTGGGGGCGATGCATGATATCTTTGTTGAACATGACACCTCAGACATCGCAGACCGCATCAATCTCCCAATCTTCACTAAGCGCTGTTTCCCTCACCCAAACTGGGCGGCTCTATACCCATTCTTACCCATGTACGACAACGAAGATGCCACATATTTGCATTTGTGTTGCGATCCTAAGGCTAAACGCGACCGTTCTCGAAGGATTTTAGGCTGGGGTCGGGCCTCCGAAGATTGGCAAAAGGAAGTAGGAAGTATCATTGTTGTACGCCAGGACAAGAAGCCGATATCGCGATGGCATGTAGAGGCGTTATGCGGGTACTGTCGCTATGAAATCAAACCGTATCTAGGGCATTCGAACGGCGAGTTCTCACCTGACGAACCTATGTCGCGGGATTTAGTCTTGTCTATGATTTGCCGACCGACCTTTTCTATTTATTGGTCCAAGATGTGTAGCGAAAAGTTGAAAAATGGGGAGGAGATTTATACCCAGTCTCCTTGGCGGATCTGATATCGGGGTGGTCATAAATTACCTTTTAGTTTGCTGCTTCAGTGCAACCTACACTCAATTCATAGTTCCAGCAACAATATCCTGATGTCCACAAATTATCAATCATGTCTTCTAGCAGTAATTTATCCCCCTTTGTGTGCATTATTATGAACAGGTCACTGCAGGTAGAGTAAGTCCCAGGAGAAAAAGAATTGCTTGACGCAAGTGCACCCTAGGCCGCCCTAATAAGTTAGCCAGCGGAGTTAGCCCACCATCCGACAATCGGCCTCGTGGCCCAATGGCAAGGCGTCTGACTACGATAAAGAACTCAGCACTGAATTCTTAACGCAATCAGGAGATTCTGGGTTCGACCCCCAGCGAGGTCATTCAACGACATTGACAATTACGTTTTGTAGTTGTTTGATGCAACTTTTGTCATGCACGCACTAACAACATCCAAGGAATAAATATAATATAACAAAATTTTATCAGTAGTCTTTTGCTGCTTTAATTGTCTAGTTATTTATTAGCAAAAATAAATAAGAATTACATAAAACCTAGAACTATATGTTATAAAACCAGTCACTTCTCAACGGTTATCTGCTCACCTATTACTCCTTCGCAATCTCTCGAAGTAGTTGCTTAATTCCTACGTCCCGAGAGTGCACCGAAATTAATCCGAGCAAGGAACTAATTCTATTAGCGACAACCCGGACTTGGTGGTTACCTGGGTAGGCTAAGAGTTGCCAATTAACTAATGAGTAGGTAGGTGAGTAGTTAGTTAAGTACTTATTATCCGACTAGACTTTAGGTTGAGCAAATCCACCCGCGTGTTTGTATAATTGACGTAATGCTGATGCTGGTCATCGAGCAAAGCTGGGCCAATTGTCTGTTGTTAGAGGGGGGCTCGTTTCGCCGATTGGCGTTTATGGTGTTAGAACGATCTGGAACAATGAGCAGTCGGAGAGACAGTACGACCGTTATGGTTTCTCCGAGCTACACTACCTACCTACGCATACCTATACGATGCGGACGGTGCGGACAATGCGGGGTTGCGGACGATGCGGACGAAGGCGGGTTTCACCGGCGACGACGCGCTAGCTACAGTACAGCACTGTGCCTATCTGAATTGGCGTTGGCTGCCCGCTAACCCCGCGCCGGAGTTTCCACGGGCCTACCAGGTACGCAGGCATGCCACTGCCCTGTGACGAATGGTAGGAGACCCATTACATACGTACCTACCTAGGTACGCACCTAACCTTAGGTACTTAGTAAGTGCCCCCTCATGAGATGCCTCAACGATCGAGGCGGCACCGGCATCATCGGTATCGCTAGCCTTGAACGGGAATTCTACAGAATCGACTTGAAAATTGGCGGTGCTACTAAAACTCAAACTAAAACTAGACCATCTGGACAGAGAAATACATGCATGTCTGTGACGAAAAGGATCGATCTATTAGTAAAACGAGTGGTGTGACACGCCGGAAAGATGATCAATCGAGCATGCACTCTGCATGTATACCTGGATAGTCAGGCCAGTGTTCGCTGCGAGAAAGAAGAAGGAGAAGAGGGGTAATGCAGCTAGGGAGCTTTGCTCTCACAACTTCCCCAGACAAACCCAGACATGGCGGCTACTCCAAACCAAACGTGGCAAGAAGTTGAAGAGCCCACAGTTGCCGAACGACCCCCGGAACCCTCCGTCTCAGAAAGGCCACACAGGCCATACAGAATACAGACCATACTTCTGACCATACCTACCTAACGAACTTAGGTGGGCGGGATGGGGCCGCTTCTGCAGTGGGCTCCCCGGCAGGCCTGGTTAGTCTCCGGGGGCTTACAGTACATAATTCCTATCACCTAGAGTTAGGATCCTATCTGCTGTACTGCGTTGATGGACAAGATGTTGGGTAGGTATGGTGCACAAGTAGAAAGAGACTTTTCGACGTCGGGACACCCACGGTACTATACGTGAAGTTCGGTAGGAGATAGACAGGCAGGCAGGCAGGTAGGGCACCTAGTCTAAATAGGTAGCTGTTCAGGGATCTCATCCAGTGAATTAAGGTATGTGACCCCACAAGCGCCGGCTCATTCCCCCCCACTTACACATGGTTAAGGTGAAGTGTATATGGAGGCATGTACGCAGTATGTAGGCAGGCAGGCATGTATTGAATAGGTACTACTGCCGAGCGCTAGACTACCTAGCCGAACCTCCTACATACCTAACCTATGGACCTATGGCATACCTGATGGAAGTGTACCTACCTGCAAGAGAACTCCGAAGCATCAGCCACCCGGTTGGGCATGGACTGTGGACAGGGAAAGCGAGGGAGCACAGTACTGACCACTGGATGGATGGATGGATGGATAGATGCGTCTCTACTTACGTACCTAATGTATGCTACCTAGGTAGGTAGGCATGTATCTGACGAGGTGAGTGAGGATGTACCTACCTAACCTCAGGTATTTTATTTACCAACGTCACACAATGGTCCGATGGCGTTTACGGCTCCTTGCTCCTCCTTGCTCCTCCTTGCTCCTTGTTGCCGCGCTGCTTATAAAGTGCGGGGTTGCCCTCCGCCGTTGATAACACCCGTCGCAGCCACCTCTCCTCCTTGCTCCTTGCTCCTCCTCTTCTTCCTCTTCTTTACTTACTCGCATTATATCCGGATCTCTTCCGCATTGCCTCTGCTTGGGATTGGTGTAACAGAATCAATTCCCATATTGCCGGCCCCCCTCCTTGCCCCTCTCACTTACTAATCTCGAGCTCATTCACGCTGGCACCCCGCGCACTCTTTGCGCGCGCAATAAAACAATTCAATCGCGCCCTCTCGTCGAGCAGTATAATGGCAGAGTCAAAGTGCCCCGTGGCCAATATAGCCGGTGGCGGTACCCGGAACCGAGATTGGTGGCCTGAGCAGCTGCGCCTGAACGTTCTCCGCCAACAAAACCCCTCCTCCAATCCCCTAGACAAGGACTTTGACTATGCCGAGGCCTTCAAATCCCTCGACTATGCCGCGCTCAAGAAGGACCTCAATGACCTCATGACCGACTCGCAGGAATGGTGGCCGGCCGACTTCGGTCACTATGGTGGTCTTTTCATCCGCATGGCCTGGCACAGTGCCGGTACCTACCGTGTGTTTGATGGCCGTGGCGGTGGTGGCGGCGGTCAGCAGCGCTTTGCTCCCCTAAACAGCTGGCCTGACAATGTAAGTCTCGACAAGGCCCGTCGCCTGCTGTGGCCCATCAAGCAGAAGTACGGCAACAAGATCTCCTGGGCGGACCTGCTCCTGCTCACGGGTAACGTCGCCCTCGAGTCGATGGGCTTTAAGACCTTCGGCTTCGCTGGTGGCCGCAAGGACACCTGGGAGGCCGATGAGGTTCCCTACTGGGGTGGCGAGACCACCTGGCTAGGCAACGACATTCGTTATGCCAAGGGACGTGCCGGTCTTGCGGGCCATGGCGTCACTTCCGCAGACGAAAACCCCGAGGGCGCCACCCACACCGGCAAACTAGAGACGCCTCTAGCCGCTGCTCACATGGGTCTGATCTACGTCAACCCTGAAGGACCTGATGGCGTTCCCGACCCCATCGCGGCAGCTCATGATATTCGCGACACATTCGGCCGCATGGCAAGTAAGTTATTCCCATTCTGCACCCAGACAATAACGCTCTTTTCGCACCTCCCAAGTTGGGTCTGCCAATCGCCCGTCTGTGTTGTTCCCGCATCCTCAGAATTATCGCGGTGACCGGCAATTTTGTCACTGGTTCAGCTAGTTTCATACGTAGTGGCCAATTGTCCCCTGATTCTCAAAAAAAATGCTAACTCGGTGGTCGCAGTGAATGACGAGGAAACTGTTGCGCTCATTGCTGGCGGCCACACCTTCGGCAAAACCCACGGCGCCGCCCCCGCTAAAGAACACGTCGGTAGTGAACCAGAGGCTGCTCCTATTGAACAGCAGGGTCTAGGCTGGACCAACACACACGGCTCTGGAAAGGGTCCCCACACCATCACTAGTGGTCTAGAGGTCATTTGGACCAAGACTCCCACAAAATGGAGCAACCAGTTCTTTGAGTACCTATTCGGTTTTGAATGGGAGCTGACGAAGAGCCCGGCTGGCGCGCACCAGTGGGTAGCCAAGAATGCCGAAGCCATCATTCCCGATGCCTACGATCCTGCTCAGAAGCACTTACCTAAGATGTTGACGACCGATTTGTCACTCCGCTTTGACCCTGCTTACGAGAAGATTTCCCGCCGATTCTTGGAGAACCCAGACCAGTTCGCCGACGCCTTTGCCCGCGCCTGGTTTAAGCTGTTGCACCGTGATCTTGGCCCATCAGTCCTCTACCTAGGCCCCGAGGTTCCCAAGGAGGAGCTGATCTGGCAGGATCCCGTCCCGGCTGTAGACCACCCTCTCATCGACGCGAAGGACATCGCCGCTCTAAAGAAGGAGATTCTAGCTGTCGAATTGAACACATCCCATCTGGTGTCTTTAGCTTGGGCATCGGCTTCCACTTTCCGTGGAAGTGACAAGCGCGGTGGTGCCAACGGTGCTCGTATTCGCCTTGCTCCCCAGCGTGACTGGGCGATAAACAGCAACTTGCAATTAGACAAGGCGATCGCGGCCCTGGAAGGTATCCAAAAGCGTTTCAACGATGCCAGTGCGCCCAAGAAGGTATCGATTGCTGATCTAATCGTACTGGCTGGTGTGGCTGCAGTGGAGAAGGCATCCGGTGCCTCGGTACCCTTCACGCCGGGACGAACGGATGCTTCCCAAGAGAAAACAGACGTGGAGTCTGTCGGTCACCTCGAGCCGTTCGCCGATGGGTTCCGAAACTACGGCAAATCGACGCCTCGCGCCAAGACAGAAAGTCTCTTAATCGACAAGGCACAGCTACTCACACTCACCGCTCCTGAATTGACTGTGCTTCTGGGTGGTCTGCGTGTCCTAGGCGCTAACTACGATGGGTCCACCCTTGGCGTGCTGACCAAGCAACCTGGCCTGTTGACCAATGACTTCTTCGTGAACCTCCTAGACGTCAACACAGAATGGAAGTCGACGGGTTCTGACAGCGAAACCTTCGACGGCTTCGACCGTAAGACCGGCGCGAAGAAGTGGACGGCATCGCGCGTCGATTTGATCTTCGGCGCTCAAGCTGAGCTCCGCGCTATTGCGGAAGTATACGGTAGCGCGGACGGAAACGCCAAGTTCGTGAAAGATTTCGTCGCGGTATGGGACAAAGTGATGAACCTCGACCGGTTTGATCTCAAATGACTAAATGGAAGTAAAAAATCAGAACCAGCGAAAGAGTTAGTAAAACCTCGCCTGTAGTAAAGTGATATCCGAATATTAGATTCATAGCTAGTTAAATGAAAACATTATAGCAA